ATCCCTGAAAATAAGTGATTTTTAGTTTAATAATATCTATTGGTTTTTAAATAACTTTAGTACAAGTTTATGTAGCACCCCTTTTAAAAATCTTCTAACAATTAAACATCTAAAAAGAACATTATCTTGACTTAGTAGGTTGCTTTTCTTGATGGTGTACAMTTTGACATTTCCCCACCACATTATCTTCTCAATAAAATTATACCCAAACTTCAAGTTCCATTGATGTCATATATCYGAGAGAGAATGGAAGAGATCCGTCACTTCAGTCATACRAATCATCCATTGAAGTTGATTGAAAACYGGGAGACRGTTTTTCATGTTGGTGACGGTAATCATGAAAAAAAGGAGCTCGTCTGTTATGGATGTCAAGATCCCATTTCGGGTGGCTCAATGTACGGATGCATCTCATGTTGTCACTTTTTGCACGAGGTATGTGCAAAGCTAACGCTSACTTTCAATCACTATTTACATCCCTTGCATCCTCTTACACTCATTGAACAACACAAAAGYATYTGGATCTGTGATGTGTGYGGTAATCAAGGCAGATCTGGCTTTAGCTACCATTGTTTTCAGTGTAAGTTTGATGCATGTACAAAATGTGTTGTTGCTCTTGTTACTCGAGAGGCTGCTGAACTTGCACTTAAGGAAGAAGCACTGATCAAGCTTGAACACAGAGGTCACCCACAACACACGTTAACCCTCCAACTAAGACCAGCATCATTCAATTGCGATGCTTGCGATATGAAGGAAGAAGACTTATTTTATCAGTGTSATAGTTGTAATTTCTGGATTCACAAGACTTGTGCTTTCTTAGTCCCGACCATCAATCTACCTCATCACCCTAATCATCCTCTCGTYCTCGTCTATTCACTTCCAGATAATTTCTAYAGTTTCTTATATTTTTGTGACTTCTGCAACAAGCTCATCCARCGAAACATATGGTTGTATCACTGTCCAAATTGTAGATATTTTGTTCACATCAAGTGCGCCTTAAATGTAGAGCAACCTTCTGTACCAAGGTCTAGAACTTTCTTTTCTTATTTTTATTTATTTATTTTTGTGGATGTTTCTTCTAAATTGAATATCTTGTCTCAGCGATGCCATCAGTACTTCTCATGTCGAAGAACACGAAAATGATTGTATGCAGTTTCCCATGTCGGATGCATTCATAGATCCACTGAAACGACTGCATTTTGGAAAGATGGCCCGGGATGAGGGTGACGTAATAGAGATAAACCATTGGAGCCATAATCATGCATTAATCCTTAATATTGAATCTGAAGGAAATAACATGCCCAACTTCAATTGTAGTGATTCAATAGAGGTATGTTATGGGTGTGTACGACCACTCACCCTTCCATACTATAGTTGCAAAAACGGATGTTCATTTACTTTACACAAATATTGTGCCGAGTTACCGCTCATATTTGAACATCAACTTCACCTAGATCATTCACTTGACTTGGTAAACACCTATGAGGATGACGACTATTACCAATGCAACGGTTGTGGCAGCTACGGCAACACGTTTGCATACAGATGTGAAACTTGTGCATTCTACCTTGATGTGAATTGTGCATTTTTATCCAACACTATCAAACATGAGTCTCACGAGCATCCTCTTATCCAAGTTATTGATCCCAATCGTCTTTGTAAGGCATGTGACCGATGGTATACAAGTATAAGTTACGCCTGCAATGCTTGTAACTTCCAACTAGACATGTTTTGTGCACTACAGTCTCCACATTTCCTTAGTCATAGGTATTGCAAAGGACATGAAATCCCATTGACGTATCCCCCAGTTGAAAACCATCCTGAAGATTTCTACTGCGATATATGTGAGAAGGAAATGCACCCCAAGTACCCACTCTATCACTGTCTTGCATACAAAAATTCTTTTCACCTTCAGTGCATTCGTCGGTTTGATCGTTATGCAAATGTTAAGAAAGAGGGCAAGATGATTGTTTCTTATCACAATCATCAATTGACACTTGTTCGGAGAAAGAAAACGTCTCAATATGTGTGTTACAATTGCAATTTCGATGTTAACGGTCATTTGATCCTTGAATGTCGGACTGGAACATGTCCTTTTAGAATTTGTATCTCGTGTCATCATAATAAAATGGAATAGACTTCATAGTATCCTTTGTCGAGTTCTCGTTTTATTCCACAAAAACAGTTATAATCAGATAATTAGCATTTGAGTATAATACAAAATAAAAACAATAATTAGTAATGCAAAAGGCAAATACATGTATATATCTTCACACCTCTAGAATCCATGGTGACACCTGCAATGGTTGCTGACCAAAATAGTGTGCCCGTAGTGATTGGAGATGGAAATTTGACCCGTTGGGGCGAGGATTCCCCGGTTTGACGGGTAACGGGACGGGGACGAGCATTTATTTTCATACCTGAAGTGAGGCCGAAGATGACATTACCCGCCCCTAATCCGACCCGGATTAATTTTTTTATTTTAATTAATATATGTATACAGTTTGTGTGTATAAATAAATTAATATGTATATATGTATACATTTATTATTACATGATAAGTATATTATGATTTTCAATATTCATAATTAATATAATAACGATTCATTATAATTTTAATTTAAAAATAGATTGTTTTTTTTACTAAACGGAAAGGAATGTTGGTGATTTTAGTGTTATAGATCGTTTTTAGTGTAATTGTACTAATGTTGTCTCTATCACTTTAGATCGTCACAAAGCGGGGTCCGGGCAGCAGCCTTGGCGGTGGGTAAGGGGTTCGGGGCAGCAACTCTAAACCTTTACGGATTTTGAGGAGATGTTTACTTATGAGTTTTAAGTTTCAGAGCGACCTGGACGAATTTCAGAAAGTTAGAAACCTTCTCGAAGTTGTTTCATAACTTAGCAAAAATTTGACTGAGTATAGATCAGAGGCTTTGGACTCAGAGCCTTTAGCTTAGAGTCCCTGAGTTCGCTCAGATTATAAGTCGTTGTCTAGAGCCTCTAAACTTGAACATTGCTTATAGGGTCGGTGATCAGAGCCTCTAATCGTGTCTTCTCTTGTGGGCATGGTTCTTCAGACTCAGAGCCTCTGAGTCAGTAATAACCGTTACTTAATCTTATCGTTAGCAATTGTAACAAATATGCAGTTACATATTAACCATCAAACTGTCCATAACCGTTGATATCTTATAAATACATAAAACGGTTAATCTAGTGAATATATATACACACACGCACACGAGTTTGTACCTTAATTTGTGTATGAAATATCAGAATTATCCAAATATTAATTTTGTGATAACTTAAGATAATCTAAGACAAAATATAGTATTTAAAAAGTGATTTCCAATCACGATACATGAATTCATCCAAATCTCTACAACTAGACAAAACCCATATTCCCCAACATTAGTTTTCCAACATTTATCGTTCATTACAAAATTTCTTTCTTCGTGATTTTAATATTTCATGTGATTTAGGGGTCGTTTACCAAATGCTTACTTGAGTAAGCGCTTACCAAGTTACATTACCTTATCGGATGAACATGGAAAGGACCATGAATCTTACCCGGTAAGAGCGATGCAAGGAACTAGAGTCTTTACCCGGTAAGTGAGAGCAATGACTCTTACCATGGTCAGCTCTTACCGGGTAATTCGTTGCATAGAAAGACGTTTTTTGTTGACTAAAATCTTACAGGTAAGTAAATGATAAAGTTGAATCTTACCATTAGATGCTTACCGGGGTAAGTGTTTGGTAAACGGCCTCTTACTTGGGTTCTATTTTATTCCACCAAAACAATTTTTAATCAAATAATTAGTATTTCAGTATAAAATAAATAAAGTTAAATATAATTTTAAAAGACAAGAATTTAATAATACAAAAGTTGGAGGTTGTTATTTGTTTGACCAACCACTTCCATAATAATATTATGTTTAGAATTATTAAGTCAGGATGTATACGAAAATGCTTATTGGATGTCACTTATAATGTAACAGTCAGTTCACCTTTCATGTAAATGTGATAAGGACAAATAATTTTACTAAATAAGAAATATAGTAAGGACCATAAATATTACCCGATAAGCGCATAGCAAAGTAAAGACACCAATGATCCATTTTGATGGTTGAGAATCTTACCCAATAATGTATCTGTGAGTGATACTATTGTGGGTAAACGCTTACCGGTAAGCATTTGGTAAACGGCCGCTAAACCAACTTAACTGAACCTATTTTGATCTTATTAAAAGATTATCTGATCTACCGAACCTGCCCATCTTGACTTCCCTACAATTTTTTTACTTTATTGCATCTCTATATAGTTTTCTATACAAATTTTATCGAATAGAAGAAATGTTGTTCAGTTCTTACATTTCTCTTTCTAATACAGAAATTTGGGTTTTATGCTAAGTTTACTTATGTGTATCAAAATTCTGATCAACTATTTAACCATTGGAAAAAAAAACCCAAATACACTCAAGGACGTAATTTCCAAAAATGCCTCCATCGACACAAATACTCAAAAAAAAAAATATCTAGTAACTCCACAAACACTCAAGGACGTAATTCCCAAAAATGCCTCCATCGACACGAATACTCCACTCAACCCTTGGGAGTCCTATCGCTAAGAGAACATGATATGCATGTCATTTGAGAAAAAAAGTGTTAGGCTTAACGCATAGTGAGAACAAATAGTTACTGAATAAAGCTATAAAATTTAAAAACGAAAACATAGCCTTAGTCAAATTGATTGTACATTTTAACTCACGCTTATCCTTGGAAGGGCATAAGCCATCCAGAGATGAAAGGGGAGACCCGATTTCCATTAACCGTGGCGGGACATATGAGTAGTCTACGGTTCAATATTATATAAGCATTACTAACGAATGACCAATCATTAAGATCAACCCCTTCTGGATCTTATAGTTTAATGAATTGACAAGCTCAACTAAATCAAGTTTCTTGCCTGTGGAGTTCCCAACATCAGCTATATAGGTCCTTACCTTGAGAACTTCATAGTTCTAGTTAGCTAATTTACTTAGAAATTACATTATATGGTCATTGGCCGATGCCTGACTTTAAAAGTCCACATCTTGTTGCCTATTAAGATCCAATGTCTATTTCAAGTTACAATTAGGGAATAACGCCTCAACATACTCGTCAAAATCAACTTCTATACCTATGGATCCATTGCATTCTAGCCACAAATATATATATATATATATATATATATATATATATATATCAAACTTCACCATTTATGGGTACTCTTGTATACAAAATCCCGTCAAGTGGTTAAAATCCCATTTTTATCAACAAAACCCGAATGTAAAGAACATTATAGGTTTGAGTTCGAAATTCATCAAGACACTGAAATAATCATTTTCCAAGGGTTTAAAACAATTCTCCACACTTGTTTCATTAAAATATACAAAATCATCAAATGCAAAATACTTAAAATGGAAACTTAAAGGAAGTGCAATACATCATTTTAACATGTATATGGTTTTATAAAAGTAAAGGATGAACTCACAATACTAGGTTTTGATGAAAACCTAGAAAATTGAGAAAGCTTGGGGAAAGAGATGGACACACTTGGATCTTGAAGACTAGACTTGAATCCTTAACCTAGACGAGGTATAAATGCTCTTGGGTTGGTTGGAAACGAGAAGTAAATGCTCCAAAAACATATTCAATGAAGATGGAAGGGAGAAATTTGGGAGAGAAAAGAGTTTGGTGAGAAAATGAGAGTGAAAACCCAAAATCGGCTCTTAAAACGCTGGCCAATGGTGTTGGCTAGTTTACCGCTAGTTAAACTAGTGAACAAACTAGCCCAAGCACTTTGAATGAAATCAAACAGTGGTGCGGTGAAACTAGCGAACAAACAAGCTTCGAAACTAGCTTGACCCACTTTTTCATCCTTATCAGTTCACTTCCTTGAGTTTTGAAACGCCAACACTAAAACGCCCAAAAACACTCAAAGTAGCTTAACTTAAGCACTAAAGAACTACACTTATAGATTAACCCAAAATACAAATAGTAACAAAATTACGGGTGTTATAATCCTCCCCCAACCTTGAATTTGATTTCGTCCTCGAAATATAAAACTAAACAAAAAGGTGAGGGTAACACCTCTTCATGCCTTCTTTCGCGTCCCCTGTTTTCGAGCCTCGGTGATGTTTCCATTGTATTTTGACCATAACAATCTCTTTATGGCGCAACATCTTGGGCTTTCTTTCTAAGATTGCTTCCGGCTCCTCAACGCAACAGTTGTTCTCATATATACGAATCTTCAAGAGGGGAATCACACTTTCTTCTTCCGTCAAACACTTGCGTAGGTAGCACACATGAAAGGCGTTGTGAATTATCACGGGTGGCAACTATAATCTATAGTCTTGGATCCCCATTTACCCAAAATTTGGAAGGTCCAAAGAAACGAAGGCTGAGTTTCCCACGCTTTCCAAACCCGTGAGTTTTGAAGCGCCAACACTAAAACGCCTAAAAAACATTCAAAGGAGCTTAACTTAAGCACTAAAGAACTACATTTATAATTGAACTTGAAATAAAGATAGTAAAAAAAATTCTGAACGTTAAAACAAAATACTACTTTGATATTTTTCAAAGTAAAATAGTTCTGTTTGGACAACTCTTAGGGGCTATTTACTAAACGCTTACTTGGTATGTGCTTACTGGACAAATTTTCTCATCGGAAGAACATCACAAGAGCCAAGAATCTTACCGGATAAGAGTGATGAGAATGATGGAGAGTCTTACCCGGTAAGTGAAGATGACGATTCTTACCCAGAAAAATGTTGCATTCAATACGTTTTGTTGTACTAAAACCTTACACATCAAAATAAATTATAGGTGTTGACTCCTATCGTTAAGCACTTACTGGATAAACATTTGGGTAAACAAACACTTATAGACTTTGTCAATTGATACTTTCAATTGAATGAGGTCATACATATATGATATTTAATTTTTTGGTAAGAACAGATAAAATATCACTAAAAAAAATCAACAATTTATAAATAAACATTTTCACCTAAGTGAATGGTAAAAAGACAAGAAAATACCTATCATTTAACTTACATTTTTAATTGTCTTAGCACCCCATAATTTACTAATTTATTTAATTGGTTATGTGAATTTTTGATTTTTGGTTTAAACAAATAAATAAATAATTGAATCGTGAATGAATTCGTGAGGCGAATGCGACAACTAAAACTTTGTCAAGTAAATAAATAAGTGAATGAATGTTTTTGAGGGATTTTGATTTTATGGAGTGATTTGGATTGGAACGGATTTGAAATTATTGATGTGTTTGGTTTGTAGGATTTGGAACAGAATTAGATTTCATTATTTATAAAACATTATAAAAATAATTAGATTACATTTTTATTAAGCGATTATATAATAAAATGTTTTAAACATTTTTTAAAACCTTATCTCATATAACCCTACAAAATCCCATAAAACCCCGAGCATCCTCTAAGGATTTCAAAATCCTACATTTGTAGGATTTCAATTAAATAAGAATTTTAAATCCAGACAATGCAACAAACCAACCATGAGACTGAAATGAATTTGAAATCTAAGCCCCTTCAAATTCATTCTATTCCTGCAAACCAAATGGGACGTAAGAGGATTCTAAGCCGGTAAAAATCAGTACCATTCCTGTCGTGTTGGTCAGTCATATAACTTATAACCAAAAAATCGAACAAATTCTAGGCCCAATAATTGGTGCCATTCCAGTTGGGCCGGTCCCAAATTTAGTCCTGGGCCTGACACATGAAAACATATATTTTTACATAAAAATGTTAGGGACCATTTACCAAACACTTACCCGATAAGTGCTTACCGATAAAATTTAACATTATTATTTACTTACCGGGTAAGATTTTAATTCATTAAAACGACATCGTATGCAACAGTTTACCCGGTAAGCGCTTACCATGGTAAGAGTCGTCGCCCTCACTTACCGGGTAAGACCATTGATCCTTGTCTCGCTCTTACCGGGTAAGATTCTTGGTCGTTGTTATATTCATCCGGTGAAGTAATGTTACTTGGTAAGCGCTTACCCGGGTAAGCGTTTGGTAAACGACCCCTTAGTTATGTTTTTTTAACGAAGAATTTTAAAATTTAACATTGAAATACACTTTAAATTTACTTGAAAAAATTTTAAATTTTTTAAAGAATTTTTTTTAAAAGTGTTGTAAAAAATATTTAAAAACTTGTATTATAATTAATAAAAACTTAAAAGAAAAAAAAACATAACTAGTCTCTATCACGTAATCAGTATCGAGTCAAGCCAGGTCAGACCTCAATATTACATAAAATTTATATTACTCTCAGACTGTTAGATCATAACCGGTTTCAATTGGTCTTGATCCCAATCAATTCCTAACCGAATCAGGCCCAATTTGACCATCTCTAATTTTTTATATGTAATATTGTAATGTGGTCCAAAATCCAAATAAACCCAAATATCCAATATGCTAAAAGAATGTTTCAAAGGGGATCCATTATTTTTGAATTTGGGCTAAAATTTCCATCTTGGATTTTCACCCATCTATCAACAAGACTTGCATTGCATCTGCTGTAACAAATAATTAAAAGAAATAAGTCGGTACGATACGGTGTTATTATGATATACAATTTCTAATACCACGTAACAACTAAGTTTAAATAGTTGGTATGATACTAACAACCAATTAAATTGGTATTAATAGTACGAATTATATAACCACAAGAGTGGTGCATGATTGATTTGAGCTTGACTGATCAAAAGTACTAGAAGGTCTCAGGTTCAAATCCAAGAAGAAATAAAAATTCCCTTGTGGCTACGGAGTCAAATGCGGTGATTTCGAACTATTTGCAAAATGTGATCGCTTTGAAATTAGTCATTTTGCATAGCAGGTTGGATATTCAGGTTAATCGAAAAATTGATTGGTTTGAAATCATTTTATGAAGTGGAGATAGTGTATAGTTTAAGCTGGTTTTGAAATGCACAAAAATTAACCCATGCGGTTAAAAACATCGATACACGGGTGTATGGTCTTGTTTACCCTTTGCAGTGTGACCTATTCACAGACCTCGCCTCTCCCAATCGTCTCTCTATATCCATCTCCTTTCGACTCGCAATTCCCCTATTGCTTACAGATCCACGATCTTCGTCGCCAATCAGGTATGATCTTAACCCTACTTTACATCCTATACGDTTTTTAATCGCTTTTTTGATCGATTATTAGGTACTGATATGTTATTTTCCTCTTGACAATTTTGTATTAAGTCCGCTTTCAATCAACCCTAGGATTAATGGTTTTGTATCAATCTGTTTACAGTTTTTTTCGTTTCTAATTGTTGAATGGATGGATGGTTTTGATTGAAACAGACGTGGATAGCTGGTTAGAATTGTAGAACTTTAGTTTCTRGCGCACTCGTTCAGACAACTATATAGTGTATGCGAAYCTGCAGGTGTATGCCTGGTTCCGGTTAGAGCGTAATTCTGTAAGCTTCTTGTCTGTGGATCGCTGTTTTTCTTTGTATCAAGTTGCTTCATTCATTGATGCTTCGCAATTTACATGACTTTGATGTTTTTCCAGAATTTGGATTGGGRACCTATTGTTAGGTATACTGCGAACTAAATCGAAGGAACTATGTTTGGTTCTAGCAACCGTAAGTTTCTTTTCARTCTTTTTGAACCTATTTTACTTTATGTTTATGTTGTATTCTTTTTTTGCCCCTTCATTCCTTCTGTCTTTTAATTCTGTAAAATATGGATGACTATGTCTGTTAAATGTCGTTTGGGTTGTTTCTTCAGTGTAATTTATGTTTAAAACCATTGGTTTGTGCCTCTTGGGACCCTTGATTATACCTGCTAGTTGTGGCACGCCCTATACTTAGAGGGCAGTGTGCTCCATGTAAATTATCCTTAAATTAACAAATGACAGGTTTTCAATTTTATTTTCATGCAATCCCATATCAACGAAATTTAWACAGGCCTATATGAAACAAGTGATGGCTTGAACTTTTAGTGAAACAAGCTCCCTATTTTCTCAYGAGCTGGGCTTCAAGTCTGCATRCTCCAACTTTATTCCGCTCAACTCAAACACACCCTTATGTCTGCATCCAAGGTAGATAAAGAAAGGGCTAGGTGACACATTAAATCCTTTTGCCTCAAAAAAGCATGTGCKTATTTTATATTCCTGGATATAGTTTGTGTTGTATATAAAATATAATTTTTAGGTCAAATGCATTCTTGTCAACTATTTATGTTTGCTATCTTTGCAATGTAGGTTAATGTTTAGGGATATAATGGAAGCTGTTTTTTTTATTATGTAGCTCATGATTTGTTTTCTTAAGTGAGAGAGAGAGAGAGAGAGAGAGTATGTTTTCCCCCTTAAACTGAGGATGAAAATTCTACTTCTATAACGTGCAAACAGTTTCATTTTCATTTACAAATATGAATTTGCTTAATTTCACACCCATTTTAGGCATACTAAGTAGGCTCTTTTTGGTAACATTTGCATACAATTAGGTCCCATTTGTTTTGCCCCAAACTAAATCCATATGGTCTTTGAGCAACTAGGTAAAAAAAAGGCTTCAGTGGCTTTGTTTTATATATATGTTATTTAATTTTAGGAACTAGTTTATTTCTTCTTCTCTTTCCTTTTCTCCCTCTTTTTTACCTGTTCTCTCACTTTTCTTTTCTCTGGGTCTCTCCTAGCCAATCATTTGTGGAGCACTTTACTAACATCCCTCAAAAATGGATTCAAATAATGTGTAGTTAGAACTTACGAGTTGCAAGTTTGAATCTTATTAACCTCTCTCAGATGGTCTATTTATAGGAAGTAATGAAACTAGTAATGATCTAGTGTTTTTTTTTTTTTTTTGATTTGATATTTCTATGAAAAATATAAACAAAAAGGTCTCCGAATGCAAATGTGAATCGTACTGATTTCTGAGGATGGCACATTGATTTCTTAAGATCGACGTGATATTGTTAGTTGTCAGTCTTGACTATGGACATTTGAAACTTTAAATACTCATGTAACGTTTTGGCATCCTTGTCAATCACTTTTTATCATACTTGTTGACATGCWTGTCATGTTGATCATGCTGACTGGGATAAATCTATGCTTTGTGGTGCYGAATGGTGGATGCCTGACYCTTGGAACTTGCCTGTATGAAGTGTATCTTTTTTATTTATGGTCAACAACTTTGGWTCTAATTGCTTSTGATTTTCTTCAACAGCTTTTGGGCAGTCATCTAATAGTCCATTTGGGTCCCCRTCAGTTTTTGGGCAGGCAAGTAATGCAAATAACAATCCATTTGCTCCAAAACCATTTGGTAGCACGTCTCCCTTTGGTTCACAAACAGGGGGTTCCATTTTTGGCGGCACTTCTACTGGTGTGTTTGGTACCCAAGGATCCTCATCRATAGGTTCCTCACCAGTTKTTGGTGCTTCATCAGCACCTGCTTTTGGAAGTTCAATGCCTTCTTTTGGAGCTTCATCATCCCCAGCCTTTGGGGCTTCATCRTCTTCTTTTGGCGGTAGGCACATCTATTGAAGTTCAAGAAGTTCTCCAAATATTGTACTCTATWTSGCTTTGACTGAAACTTTAATATCTATGTTGGTTTTGTTAAGTATACCTGAATTATGTTATAGATATTTTGGTGTGGTTGGTTAAGATGCRGTTATATTTGAAACTGAGATCATTAATAATCACATTTGATGCTTACKAAAGCTTATMATRACAAGAGGTGATATTTGGTGGTGTTGCATGGCYCTTTGCAACCATTGSTTTTGTTCARACYTTTTGGTGGTGGTTTTAGCTGGGAACATAATKTTTATGAGAATAAGAAGACTATCAAATCAAAGCTCATAATCTAGAGAATAATAAAAATATTACAATCAAAGTGCATATGAAACTAATAAGCATAGGCAAGGCATGTAGTCATCATCAATCAAAATCAAGCACATGCATTAGAAGRTGAGAAAGAATTGGCAAAAAACTAGTGGATGGGGAAAGTCTAAAAGAAAAGTAAGTATTTAAACTTGTGAGGGGCCAAAATTCTACAACTGAAGTCGGTATATGTAAGATTTTACTCAATGCTTGCTATAAGAGGAAAGAAGATGCATAATTTTATATAWTCTCTAGATTATGAACTTTTTTTTATAGTCTTCTTATTTTCATTTATGAATTCTTATTAGCTTGTTGATCTATGTCTGCTTTTTCTTGCTCATTCTTTTTTTATCCCTTCTTGTGTTTGATTAATTCATTTCATCTCTAATCCAAATTACAGGTTCATCCGTGTTCGGCCAGAAACCTGCATTTGGTGGATTTGGATCCAATACACAGTCAAGTCCTTTTGGAAGCTCATTTCAGCAATCACAACCTGCTTTTGGTAGCAGTCTATTTGGCTCGTCGCCTTTTGGAGCTTCAAGTCAACCTGCATTTGGTGCTCCCTACTCACCGATATTTGGATCCTCAAGCACCCCTGCCTTTGGTGCCACAAGCACTCCTGCCTTTGGTGCTACAAGCACTCCAGCATTTGGTGCAACAAGCACTCCAGCTTTTGGCTGTACATCAACCCCAGCATTTGGTAACACGGGCTCTGCATTTGGTGTTTCTAGCTCCCCTGTTTTTGGATCGAGCACTCCAGCTTTTGGTGCTTCGAGCACTCCAGCATTTGGTGCTTCGAGTACCCCTGCATTTGGTGCCTCAAGTACTCCAGCATTTGGATCCTCACCTACTCCTGCTTTTGGTGCTACTAGCTCTCCTTTCAGTTTTGGGTCAAGTCCAGCATTTGGTCARTCAACATCCGCATTTGGCAGCACCCCATTTGGTACTGCTACCTCACCCTTTGGGGCTCAAAGTTCTCCGT